ATTTAAATCCATGTGGGTGCTGGAAGTTGAACCTGGGCCCTCTCAAAGAGCACTCTTAACCTCTGAGCCATCTCTCCTTTCGATTAAATCCAGTGGAGGCATATGTTCAAAGTTTTACTGTGGGAACAGCCAAACATACAAGTAGGTATCAGCCTTTCCCATTAAGAAACAGTCAAATGGGAAGATGGTGCTTAAGAAGTCTGACAAGCGCCTGTGTCTGAGGAAACTGAGGGCAAGCAGAGAATAAGAATATCCTTGCTGTCTGTCACGCTGACAAAGCAGCAAAGGGTGCTTTTCAGCTTCGTTGACTCACAGTGCGGGTATGGAACATTCTGGAAGGCCAGCTCCCGTTTCTCATTTGTATTTATTGTCCAGAAAGGACAAGTCTTTGAAGACAGTTGAGGCAATACCATCCAGAATGAGTCACATCAGGCCTGGCTTGCTGCTCATTTTGATGCAGTCCTTCAGTGAGGTTGTCCTCAGGGATCAAAGTCAGAGAGAACGCAGGATTAGGGCATCTAAACATTTTCTAATCTAGCACACAGATTCACTAAGTCACTACAAGGTGAATTCCACATTAGCTCCTAAGAAGCAGTACCTCCTCAGGTTCCCATGGGGAAGTTTCTCCTGCTATTGCATTACATGGCAAGAACGGGTGGATTTTATGTTTTTTACTACCAGAAAAATGCCAGTTTTTGTTTGTTCCTTGAGGTTAAAATTAGGGTCCCCCACCCCACCCCTCTTCTTAGGATCAGTCTGGGTGTGGGTTAGCAGAGATACAATCATGCATTCAGGTGTGGCGGCACAGCTACCCTTGATGGTAGTGACTTAGTGAATCTGTGTATTAAATTAGAAAATATTTAGCAGAAACATGCAGCATAGCTGCGTTTGAAAATGAGATTGTGCAGGCAGATCTGTGAGTCAAGGTCAACCTGGCCTACAGAGAGAGTTCCAGAGACACCCTGTATCAAAAAAAACCAAAATAAAATAAAATAAAAACAAGAAAATGAGATTGTGTTTTGAAAATACTTATTTCCTGACCTCCAGGTGCCACTTTGAGCATGCTAGATATCCAGGAAGGGAAGCAGTGACACCCAACAGGTGTACTGGCCAGTAGAGAAAGCCCAGCTGTAGAAAGCTGGTAACGCCTGCTGCATAGACATCATCAGTGCACTCCTAAGTCAGTTCTTCGAATTCCCAAATGTTCATGGCAGTGAAAAGCAATAAATATCCTCAGCTAAGGAAACCGGTTCTTTTTTAAATAGTCTACTGCTATATGACAAATGACATGACCACAAGTCACGTCTGCCACACTAAGATACAGGACATAACAGAGAATCTCCTAAACAGCCACACAAAGAAATGGAGAGATAAATCAAACGTTTAAAACAAAAAACAGGAGTTTGGGAGATGGCTCAGTAGGTAAGGAGTTTACCACACAACTCTGAGGGCCTGGTTCAGGACTGTCAGAACATATGAAATTCTCCTGGCATCCCTTGGCTCAGAAGGCAAAGACAAGTGACTCCCAGGGAAGACTGGCCACCTGGGCTAGCTCTGGCTTCACGTGGAAGGCCCTGCTCCTGTATATAAGGCGTAGAGTCATTGAGGAAGATCTTTGACAATAACTTTGAATCTCCACAGGCACATGCATACATGTGCAGACATGCCCAGAATACACACATGCACTCTCACACAAGCAAACACACACGCAGAAGAAAGTGGAGTAGGATTTTAGCGCTTAGTACCTTACAGGGGTTCTAATATAATGGAACGCTTGTTGGCGGGATGGATGTGGTAAAATTACTATATTATACAGTAGACGGGTGGTCTCTGAGAGGAAATCAAGTTTGCCCAAAGAAAGAGCTACCCAGAAGAGGGTGAGCTAAAGCTTTTGAAGCTAGTCATTCCTCAGTTTGACACCCGCGGCCAGTCTTCCTCCAGACAGGAAATGATTTTAGACACCATACATACAGAAATAGAAGCAGCAATGTATTCATTGTGCCATCTTCATAGCTACTTCTGAAGACCCCATGAAATGCTTGGCTCTCAGAAGAGATCTGCCTACTGCCTTTAGTCCCTTATCAGATTATTCAGTCCTGATCTTCATTGGGTATTAGTGTAAGAAATCTAGTCTGCATACACCAGACTTCATGCTCCAACCTGTTTAACCACCCTGAGTGTCCAGGTCCCTCGTAGATTTCCGAACTCTCTGAAGGACTCTGAACACTGCGGCAGGCTTCAGAGAGGAGCTCTAACAAACAGATCAGGAAGTCACTGGTAATCATGGCTTCTAGAGAAATGCTTCCCGGGATGCTGCTTCCGTTAGCTGGGAGGACAAGAGGGCTGGTTCCCAGGAGCACAGACACATACCCACCTCCTTATATCAGGGTTGAAACTGCTAGGTGAGCCCTCACTGCCAACTTTCCAACATCCTGTCTGGCTTGAGGCTGAGAACACCAGAAAAGGGTATTCAGGAAGGCTTTGATCAAGTGAAGAGAAATACTTATTTTTGTGAGAAACTACTTATTTCCATGAGAAACAAAGTCCTCAGTTACTTATGATGGTTGTCTGGCTGTGGGGGAGGGGTGAGGGATTTATAAATCATGGCTTTTGTTGCTGTTCTTTGGCTTTTGATTTTGAATTCTTGGGAGGCCACTTCAAGCAATAACATGAGGTGTGCAATAATCCTGTGAGGTGTGTGCCTGGGCTTTCAGTTAGAGTCTTTTGCAGGTTGCCTGTTTACCACACAGTCCACATGGGCTAAAAAGCTTAACTTATCAGGGATGGAACTAGGTTTCACAGAGTTCCTTTAACCAAATAAGCTTGCTACTTTCTCATTTCTTCCTGCATCTGCCTTGGGACCACTAACTGCTAAGTCATTCTGGCCATTTCCATTGATGTCATCAGACGAGAAACACTTTCTTTAAATCCCAAAGGCTTAAACAGCAATGCAGACATCAACTCCCTGTCATTTTTTTTTTCAATTTAATTCCTCACTCTTTGTCATATTTTAATTTTCCTGCATCAGTTCCCATGGCAACAAGTTTGCTTATAGGCAGAGACGGTAGAACTCTGCTTTTAGCTTTCAGCCCAACGTAAAATCACTTTTAGGTAGGTGCCACACAAATAAGCAAACTGGAGTCCTCTTGCTAAGACATTTTCTTATCTCTTTACTCATTTCCCCAAGCAAGGCTCTCCTGTGCAGAGGCCCCAGGCAATTGCAGCTTCAAGGACTTAACCTTTGGGATCCTGTGGCTTCCCTCTTCCAAGTGTCAATAAGGTGAATGCATCCATCAAAACTGCACAGAAAAGCAACTTTCAATCAATTCCTAAAAAAATGCCCTCAGTATATTTGAGGAAACACATATGTCCTGAACTGAGCCTTAAATCAGGTCTAATGACAAGATAATGAGAGGCATTTAAGCAGATTTCCTCCCAATAAAGTAAATGCAGAGGCCAAGCTTTAAGCTCTGGAAAAGACTCAGGTCTGGAAAGCAGACATGGTCCTGGCAGTTGCCTGCACATAGGGAAGCTTCAGCAGAGACAATTCATTACCAAGTATGAAAAGGCAAGCAATTGCATCCAACTTGGTGAAATACGCCTATGATTCCAGCAATGGGGGGTAAGGCAGAAGCATTACAAGTTTGAGGTCAGTCTGGGCTACATAGCAAGATCTTGCAAGGACTGGGGTTGCAAGGTCCTAGGTTCAATTCCTAGCACCTCAAAAACCTACTGAAGCAAAGAAGATGGAGTATGGAGACAGAGAGAGGGGAGAGGAGTCTGTAGAAACCCCAACCCCAAGCTGTAATGTTTTAAACTTTAGGTTCCCCTGTGGCTCTGGCAGCCCCAACTACTGCTGCAGGGCCCAGGAAGCAACAGGCCCACTCTCAAAAACTAAATAGGAATTACCCAAATATGTGCAGTATTTTTTTTTTAAAAGAATTAATTCAGGGGAATGAAAATAGATATTATCTCAACTCTAGTTAGAAAAATGGTCAGATGTAAATGATCTCTTTCTTGCTTAGTCTTATAAGACACTTAAGCACCAAGTTAGCTGCTTATATTGTATAAATGTATTTTTTGGCTGTTCAAAGGTTATTTTCCTATATTAAGAAGTTTCTTATATTAAAACCTTTTATTGCAACTCAGGTTTTGTGTCTCTTAGACGCACATTTTTCTTTGCTAGTTTGTTTTGCACAGCTGGAGTCTGAGTTTTGAACTGCCTGATAGCTAGACTAAGGAAAGCACTTGATACATGGACAAACCAGATTGTTTTCCATAGCTTTCCATTCTGGTACTAAAGAAGAGTTCCCTGGCAAATGTTAGATGATTTTATTTATTTTTGAAAGTCTCTGGAAAAACCAAGACGAATCTCTCAGGCAGATAAAGAATTTCCTGTATTTGCCCGAATGTACTGTTGAAATAAGTATTATTTTCAACATTCATTTTTCCACTCAGAGGTACTCACAAGTCTTAGACCAAGGAGAGGGCATCTGGCTTACATAGGACCGCTGAGTGCTACTTAACGCTTAGGACACTTTGTTTTGCTTTGCTGACAGTGTGAATGGACTACAACAAACACTTTGCATTTCTGCTCTGATAATTAGACATTTCCTTTGCTTCCCTCAAGAGAGCAGGCCTTATGTGATGTCCGAGGTAGAGAAAGGTAGCTGACAGGCAGACAGCACTTGTGTTGGAAGAGGCCATCAAGTTCTTGCACTCAGTGGATAGAAGGTGACACTGTTTACACTGGAGGAAAGAACTCTCCGGGCTAGTAAGGTCATCGCAAGGTCACTACAGGTTATTACAAGAACCAGGTTTTTCTTCCCGACCAGCAGCCACCCAAGAGCACCCCACACACAGCTGTGTACGAGAAACTATCAACTGTGGTCTCATTCTTTTCAGGAAGGAAGTATTAAGCATCAGAAAAGTGATTCTGATGGAAGACAGTGGGGGGGGGGCGCTCCAAGAGGTTTGCAAAGAATTACACAAACACACTGTTTTTAAATATTCATCACATTTATTTTTCATTTTCAAAATTATTTGATCAATGACTTTTGCTCTCAGTAATTTGTGGGAGGTAAATCTATTTCTTTATTCTGTTAGTTCTAATGTTTTATGTGTCAAGCACACAGACAAATTCCTGAGGTCATATAAGTCAGTTAAATATTTCACTCTCATAAGGTATAAGAGAGATTCCTAAGTGGTGGCACAGCTTCAGGTCTCTAGACCAATACTCTGATGGGATCTGGTTTCACTAGATAAGTGCGGCGCCCAGATCACACATCCACAGTAACCAGGGCTCCTCCCGTCAGAGCTTAAAACTGGGACCTCATTCCTAAAACTCTGCTCCAGCTGACAACACTCACGTGGCAGGTGAAGTGCTCCTTCCGTCCATCCTTTGCCGTCTATGTGGACATTTCAATGTGTGTCAGTGAACTGGCATTCTACACGCTGTATATAATTGCATGCATTTCATTGCAGTCTATGGACACTCCCTTTGTAGAGCTTTTACAAAGAACCAAGAAGCCAAGGCAGTTTAGCAAATGAGGCTCAATATTTATAAACTGGGGCCTTTTCCGTCTCTTTGCTAGCCTAGGTGGCTCTATACAAACTGGGTGGGAGGGGCAGTAAACACCTCACACATCACATTTAGATTTTCTACTTGGGTGTACTCTAGCCAATTCAAAACAAATTGCTTACTTTAATAATAAAGTTTACCATTTTATATAAAAAATCAAACCATGATATGTTTAATTGAAATGGCTGTATTGTAATTAATATTTTGAGATAATTGTGATTTTGAGCTTAAAATTATATATAAAAGTTGTCATTTTTGTATGTGTTAAAAAACAATGTACCATGATTAACAGTACTTTTTAGTTGAACTACATATTGATGTAAATAAAACTGAATGAAGAAACACTAATTTATTAACATAGATTGTGAATGTACTTCATGGTTTTTTGCCATATGAGACCATAACAACCTTGAAAGCTGTTTAATTTTATGTGCAAAGTCCCACTAACCTGTATTTCACCTCTGCAGTGTGGTCTGTGCTCTCCAGCTGTCTTACACTCTAGCACGGGTTAAGGGTAGGGAGGGTAGTCTGGAAGCATCTGCAGATGCGCTCTGTACAGAGAACTGCTGTATGGTGTACAGCAGAGCCATTTTCAGGTTCTGTTGTACTCAAATTTTTCAGTATTTAAAAAAGTGTTTTGAATAACATAAAAGTCTCTTTACTGTATAAATAATAAAACATCACCTTATTACGTGTGTCTGGTTCACTATGGAGCAGACTGTGAGATAAGGAGCTGTGACATGGAGAGGCGTGTTTCTCTTTAACAAAAACACTGTACTAATATCTAAAAATGTAACTTTATTATGGACATGAAGCATGTATCTTTGTTAGCACTGACTTTTCCTAACATCAACAGCCTCAATCACCTGCAAGTTCTCTACCTCCGTCCTCCGCCCGCTGACACACGCTACTACTCAACTGGCTTCTTGACACAATCATATGGTGAGCCTGGATGGCTCATAACCTGCTTTTGATAATTTCAGTGTAAACAACAATGTTTATATTTGGTTTTTATTAAATCAAGCTTGCTTATAACTAATTCCCTTTTAGAAAATTACTGTAAAACTGCCAGTTTAGCTTTAATCAGGCTGTAAGCAGATTTCAGAATCATGGTGCTAGAATAAGACGTACCAGGTTGGAATAAAGGACACCCATACACATATATGAAGTTAAAAAAATAAAAACACCAAAAACCCTAAATATAAAATGCATTGACCACACAGAAAGCTTAAATTCCTGGGCAATAAAAAGCCTGATTTTCTTTTAAATAACAAAGAATAATACTTAGTAAAATTTGCTCACTTACAGCTAATACAGTCTTGTTCAGTTCACATTATATGGAAAATAAAAAGAAACCAGGAGGAACCCCGATCTAAAAAGATGGTTGCCTTATCATTATGAAATATTAAATCTCATAAAATAAAAAGTTTTTGCAATGTCATAACGAATGAGTTGACAAAACATTTAAGATGTGTTGCAGCCAACACCATTATAAACGCTCACAGTACTTCACAAACGACACACTTAGTGGAGTGAACACAGCGACACTTGGAATACGGCAGCACTGGAGGCTGGCCCTTCCTATTCAGAATGAGCACCAGGGTGAGATGCCACTGACTCAGGCAGGGATTCGGTCTCTCAAATACTCCAGCACAGCAGCTGTGCCTTTCATCAATATGGCTGCTCGAGGAACTCGGAAGGGATTTCCATCTAGCAGTAGTGTTCTAAATAGAAGAAACAAGAAAATTAAGCATTCCTATTAGTGATTCTCTTTTCATGAAATAAAACTATCATTTGCAATTTTATAAATGTGTATTTTTACTTATGTGTCTCTTACAAACCCAACTAAATATGCAGACAGCTGGAATTACAATACCCAACAGCACAGGTGACTGTCACATGAGAGGCACATTACGGAGTTTACATTCACTGGCTCCATTGGTTTTAACAGACTTATGGTATAGGCATCATTAATATTTCTGATTTTAAAGGCAGGGCAATACAGAACTGGAAAAACAAAGTCGTACCTAGGATAAAGAGTTGCTAAATGATAGTGCTATGATTTGAACTACCAGTTAGTCTCCTCTCGATTTTACATGACCACATGCTAAATAATAAAATAGATTTAAGCAAGTGAATGAGCAAATTGACAATGACCCATGCCAAGGACACTGCAAACACTGCAATCACAGCTCACTCTACACCCAAGGGCACTGCAATCACAGCTCACTCTACACCCAAGGGCACTG